GAAGCTGTACAGAATACACACATGTAGGGGTGGATGGTTATTTTTTACAATATTTTAACTCACCCCATGTTCTGTCTGTAAGGCTTTTATACATTATTTTTCTATACAATTGGATTTTTCCATTTTAATGTTATGTAACCTCCCTAGTAGTAGCACTGATCTAGGTGGAATAGAGTATACCGTGGAAACGTGTATTGAAGTTAGAATGCATTTCAATTAAATAATGAAGCAATGGACTTCATGATCACCTAGATTGTGCTGGTGGTGATACGTAGTATTATTCATTTGAATAACTATGTAAAAGTGATAAACAAACTTCAAATATTGAGTTCCTTCATTACTTACTGATATTATGTTATCCTTCTTCTAACTCGAGAACTTCAATGTTCACACTTAACCCCCGTTTCGCTTCCATTAAATTCTATTTCATTTTTTTTTCTTCTATTTTCAATCACACACTTTTCCATAAAATAATATTACACCTAAATCGAAAAATTTTCATTAATTTTCAATCACTCATTTTTCAAAAAAATATTATTCCACTCATTTTTATTTTAAAAAAAGGGGGCCAAACAGGGGCTTAGACTATCTTGCAGATTCTTTTGTGCCTATCTTTATAGGCACTTATAAAAATAGACTAGTTGCCAAAATATTAATAAGCATAATTTTCTACCACATTCTCATGAGTCGTGTCTATAAACTAGTCAAGAGGAAACAATAATTGGAGGATAGTCTCACATGACTTTACTTTTTTTATTTAAACGTTCAAATATACTCATAGGGGTATTAAATGGATTGAGCTAAAGTGCTCAGATCTCCCGTGCCGAACTTGACTCATCAAGTAAGCAAGCTCTCGCTCACGTGTTAGGTGAGTGAGCGAGCTTCATCAAATGTGGACTCATTTTTCACGTCGCTCATGGCTCACTAATTTTGTTTCTAGTGAAAATTGCAGTTCATTCACCAGTTAAGATCCTTCGAGCGATTCACATGAGGGTTTTGCTACTCGCTTGTGTGGCAAGCTGGCACTTAACACCCCTATACACACCATCTCAAATATAGAGCAGCAGAATTTCTTATCTGAGAGCTTATTTGGTACAGCTTAAAAGTCAATTAAAATCAATTTTTTGACCGTTATTTTATTATTTCACCCGTCATGTTTGAATTCTTCTCTTACAGGTAGAATCCATTTTATTTCTAATGATCAAAAAATCAATTATCAAAATCCCTATCAAACAAACACCTAAACTAAAGTCAGATCTCTTATTGCTCTTTACCACGTTTTTAAATATTTTTTTAGCATGGGATAATGGTTCCCACTAAATTTATCAGTGCCCTTTGGACTAACAAGATTCTCAGAATCATTTGAAAATCAGGGGATAACAAGTGGATGGTGGAAAATGATTGTACCTCTATAAAGAGAAAGGCATATCTAAATATATACACTGTCCCACTTCCTTCTTTTGGAGCCCTTTTTTACTGTTATAACCAACATTTTGCCATCTTTTTATCTAGGCAGTGACACAGGTTAATTAAATTTTCTCTATCTCTATAATTATTAAATTTAAACGGGAGAAGAATATATCTCAAAATAGTCGACTATTCCATTCACTGAGCATAACGCAAAATAAAACATCCTTTGATCGATGACAAGTCTTACTAACGTCTGAATGATGGATTTTGAGTGTAAGTGTAGAGTCTCACAATATTGTGAGTTTCAACTTTTCAATCTCCACTCGATAAAAGGAGTTGGACTGACCCTTTTTAGCTAGACACACAAGGTAGGGGTAGCTTTTTCACCAGGTGGAGGGACAGCATTCACCTGTCTTTGATAATTTAAATTATTGAAGAACAATAATATTCTTAGCAATGGATAAGTACGAACTAGTAGGGGACCATTCAAAATTGCCATTGTCTATGTTGCAATAGTTTCTTAGCAAAGAAGATCACTTAGGTGCAGCAAGGTTATATATAACCTAGGACTCTGAGGGAGTTGAACCATCGCCGTACAGTTAACGCATTACGTTGAGACGAAGATGATGAAGAAGAAGAAGAAGAGAAAGAAAATGATGCAAAAGATATGAAACTCTTTCTATGGAAGGGTAGTACAAACCACGAAGGCAAGTCATAGAGGCAAAGGGAAGGTGACGCCTTTCTTCCAGGATTTTCGTATTTTTATATATTATCACAATTAAGAATGTGTTACTCTGCAGATTTATCAATGAATCGAACGAAGCTGTAGAATGAAATTTATGCAGCTCGCCCCCGATTTATTGAGAATAGGGCTTGAGGGGTTGTTGGTTTATGAATTTTTCTTCCTTTTTTCAATTGTGTTTGTGTCGTTTGGTGGTTCATGAAGTAAATCCATTATTCCTCCTGCAGTTGTTTCCTGATCTTTCCGTTTTGTTGTCTCTCTTTTAATTTCAAAAGAGCAATATGTACTATCTTATTTACCTTATGGATCTCTTGTTGTCTGTGTCTACACATGCACTTTCAGGCATGTTTGCTAAGTTTAACTCGATTGAAAGACTAATATTTTACTCTAACAAGCGCGTTTAGTATATTTTATATGTAGGTTTCATAGTTTTCCAGATTTTAAATTTGGCTCCTATTCGAGAACTATTAAAACAAAAACTCTGTTTTTTTCAAACTATTTTCAACCACACATTCTCATAATAAAATATGTTGTACGTAAACCTAAAAATTTTTAACCACACATTTTTCAAAAAAAATCATTATTACAAAACTCATTTTCCCCAAAAATCTCATTTTAATGGTTGTCAAACAAGGACTTAAGCTACATTTCTTTAAGGCTAAAATGGTATAAATTTACACATTCATTAAATTTATTTTCTAAAAATGTATAATTCACATT